TACCTTATACCTACTCCCTTGCAATACCTTGACAGTAGGGTCTGTTATGAACATAAAATAGACAGACTACCTGCTGATTTTTGTCCAATTTGTTATAATCTAGAGTTGATGACTTGTTTGATATCTCGTTCTTTATATTTATTTGTCTGTAAAATTCCAGTGAGGTATTTCAGTTTGGCTCCAATATAGCCCTAACTATGGTGACTAATGTTTTAATTATAGCTTTTTTTTGTGCTGGTGATGGTTCGAATTTGTTTGTACTTATCTCAGTATAGGTGGGTTATCTGTAGACACTATGGGCTAGCTGCCACTGATTTCTCATTATGAAGATGTTCAAGAAAGCCACTTGTCCCCCCCCTTTTCTTCCTCTATAGCGAACCAAATGTTTGAATGGTTTAGGAAACTACCAAAGCGGCCTTTAATGAGTCAGTCGACATTTTCGCCATAAAATGTATAACGCCAATGGATTTTTAAAAATTTTTTCCCTAATAACCTATTCTTAGAAAAAAAATTCAGCCATGTTGCTCATCAGTACCGTGACAACACCTTTCCTAATCGCTGAATTGAAGGCGCAGGTCCCCAAGCTAGGCCAGCTCACATTTATGATATGAATCTTTGTGACTTTTATGTATGGGATCACCTCAAGTTTCTTGTGTATAAGACACTTGTACTAGATGAAAACAAGTTGTGAAATCGAATAATTCAAAGGTGTGATGTCATACAAAATCCTCGAGGAATTTTTGTACAAATGAGACAATCAATGATGAAACGATTGGAATTGTGTGTTTTATCACAGGGTGGCCATTTTCAACATCTACTTTGATTTTGTGTCGAAACTGATTATTTCTATGATTGTTGTTTGTAGTTGCGGGCCATTTTTCTAAGAATAGGTTGGTATTAGGAAATAAATTCATAAATTCAAGACGCCTTTTTTTGTTGTAAAATATTAGGCAAATCCGAAATAATAAAAATTTTATAAAATCCATTGGAATTCTACATTTTATGATGAAAGTGTCCACTGACTCACGCCTAACTACGCCACTGGCGACAGATAAAAATTAACTTTATTCTACAAATACAATTCTTTAGCAACGTACAATAACTGCCAATTTTTAAGAATCTAACTGACTGTTCTAAACTTATTTCATATATTAATATTAGGGTTTCTGTTTGAGACTTCTCGAAGCGAGAATTCTCGGGAAATCTGGCCTTACTCGAGACGAGAAAAAAGTGTCGAGAAATCGAGAAATTTAAAAATAATTCATGCGTTCAATTTGTTTCTCGACAAATAACTGAGCGGTTAAAGTGGTATCTCGACTAGCTCATGATTTATTTATTTTAAGTTTTTAAGGCTTTAGTTTACTTTATGAATCTATTTTTTTTAATGTACCTAGTTTATAAGTCTGTGTAGAAATTATATTATAAGCAGATACCTAATGTTGATGTTGATTCTGAAAATATTTAGTTCCTGTTCTTTTAGTTGACTATTTTATTTTTGTTTTGTTAATTAAAAGATTGTGATTATAAAAAAAAAATAATTTAATTGATAAATTAATAGGAAGAACGCGTCTGTATCTTTAAATTAAAGCTTGTTTCTTAAGATTTCTTCAGTTAAATTCCTTATTTACTATTTGTTTAATTAAAAGACTGCATGATTAATGATTATTAATAATTATTGGAAGAAAGCCACGATTCAAAAACATTGAAATAAACATAAGTATACCTATTGAAAGTGTTTAATAAAAAAAACAAGTTAAAGGTTTTTAAGAAGAAACTCTAAAGTTTAATTTAGTTTTGTTAGTAGAAGTAGAAACATTAATTAATTAATTAAAAAAAATTACTGAATAAATAATAAATGTTAATGATGATTGTTAAGTATAATAGCATGTTTATAATTCGCATTGCAATACCAAAATTATGACTATTAAATTTTAGAAATTTCTCGAGAATTCGAGAATTCCCGGGAATTCCTAATCGAGAATTCTCGAGTCCCGAGAAAAAAAATAGGCCGAGAAATCAGAAACCCTANTTAAACTCGCTGTATAAATTTGCAGTGTCAAAAATTTTGTTACAAAACAATTTATATCTATCCAATTTCATACTCATTTTCCTTTTTTTTTTCTACGTCAGCAGTTTACCGGATAATGTTTTAGGGGAATACCCAGTACAGGCTTTTTCTGAAGGGTAAAACACTGTAAATTGTATTGGAGGAATACTCAATTAAAGAAAACAAAATTTGTGTCACTGTGTATCTTTGTCTCATTCCAGTGCAATTTCAGACACAGAAACTGTTTTTAATATTGTTTGTATTGGATAATGGAGTTAGTGTTTATCATATATTAAACAATAAGACAATAGTATGTTTTGATACAACACATTAAAGTCGGCTTAACACAACAAAAGTAAACAGCATTGTTGTTTTTAATTTCAAATTGCAAGCATAGTTTGTATTTAATCAAACTGTTGACAGAAACATTATAACAACCGAGACTGCCTAAATTTACAAAATAAATGGACTTGTAAAAGTACCTATTTAACCCTTTCTTTCACATTTGATGCAATCAGTCGCAAAACTATATACAGGGTGGTCATTAGTACCTCCGGAACTAGAATATATACATGGCTGGTTGAATTACTAGAAAGTTGCATATTTTCATGCCATTTCAGATTATGAAAAGAAATTGGAGACACGTTGCACCGTTCTTGAAATAAGCTGAAATAACTGACTTCTCATTTCCTTCATATCTTTTTTATTATTGAAAGTAGAATAATTACAATCTGTTGGAAGGTTTTTGTCTGTTGGAAAGTTAAAACATCCTCCAAGGCTTCTAGATCTTACTGTTTTTATGACCAACTTTTGGTCTTCTTATGGACGCCATATTGGATTTTTGCACCATTATGTGAAGCATTACATTTCGAGTTCAAGGATGTATAATACTTGGGTAAAGGGATTTTATTAAGGGCCAAAAAAGGTCAATTTAATGATTTATTTCATTCGATCGTAGTAGCCATGAAAAAATCAAATGAAAATTTTGACATTTCTGTTTAAAAGTAAACAGTCTAACATTCATTTACTGCTGTAATCTGCTCCAGTAGATACTAATGGTGTATATCTTAAAAGTACCCATCTTGTATATAAGGTATTTCGGAGAAATTTTTTATTTATTTAAGGTAGTCAAAGATTCACTATCTAAAACATGAGAAATCTGAAACAGCCTTTTATTTTCCCCCTATACAGGGTGGTCCAGTTTCCGATGCGGAAAATAAAAATAATATGAGTTTAATGTACTAAATATATTTCAATGAAATTTTGTACACGTTAACTACCCTCGAGAGAGCACGTTTTGCAATGTAAAACATTATTTTTAGTTCTGCCAGTGGCGTCCGTACTAGCACGTTACTACAAAATTTCATTGAAATACTTTAGCCGTTTGACAACAATTAATAAATTTGATTTTTTTAAAACAATCTTGAACACCTTGTATTTTCTTAACGAAGCATTTTTCGAATATAGTTTATATATAAAACTCATTTTATTTTTTGAATCTATCGGTCCCTGAAGTTTCCGCATCGGAAATTACATTCACATTGAATGTGTTAAAAGCGTTTTTTATTTTTTTACTCGAAAACGCTGAGTTGTACAGAAAAATCTAAAGAAAGCTTTTTTCTTCCAAATTGAATGAAGAATCCAAAACTGATTTTTATTTTATGTAAAAGCAGTGGCGTACCATCTTTTTCTTTAGAAATATCCAGTAACGTGCTAGTACGGACGCCACTGGAAAACGAAAAATAATGTTTTTTATTGCAAAACGTACTCTCTCGATGGTAGTTAACGTCTACAAAATTTCATTGAAATATCTTTAGCCGTTTGACAACAATTAATAAATTTGATTTTTTTAATCTTAATTAAACTTTTTTCGAATATAGTTAATATATCAAACTCATATTATTTTTTAATTTCTATTGGCCCCTGAAGTTTCCGCATCGGAAACTGGACCACCCTGCATATTTTTTTTTGTTATAAATTTTGAGAAAATACTAAGTTTTATGAAATGTCACTGTATTTACTATAAAAAAAAAGTATATACTCGTACTATATATTTTGAAGTATTTGGGGATATTCTAATTCAACTTTTTGCTAAATTTATACTTTTATTAAACTTGTTTTATGATTGAATTCATCTTATCTCATAAGGTGTTAATATTTGAATAAATATTCATGTAAATTTTAAAACAGCAACAAATTGTGTGTTCTTTTCTGTTTATTCGGTATCAGGTATGTCACTTGTAAAAAATTTTATTAAATAAAATATTATGACAAAATAGTTAGTTAACGGTATTTTTTTTAAATTATTTTTGTTTAACCAATCGCACACTAATAAAAGTAGAAAGTTAAGAGTATGCAACACTATATCACATACTTCAGTTATAGTTGTTTAGAAAAATCAATTTCTTCATTATCAAGACTGGAAATTACATTTCTGTTTTAATTATATTTAACAGATTGTTTGTCTGCTTCCAAATTTACAAAAGATGAAGTCTAATTAGACAAGAATCTTCCCAAATATTCAACTTCACTCTTTAGTTAGCTTACAACTGCTTTAGAAAATTAAAGTCCAATTTTCGTAATTTTATAGAAAAACATACCTCAAAAGGTTATAAAAAATATATCTTTAAAAAATTATAATGTTCGTAGCTATTTAGGCAAGTAAAATTATATTAAGGTGACATGATCTAAATTGATTTGTATTCATCCATGGAAGATACCACTGAAGTTAGGACCATTTGTTCCCAGACACTTTGTAGATGTGCTTTGCAAAACATCATTGATCAGCTATCATATATTTTTATATCGTTTTTTTTTAAAGCCTTATAACATTACTGCAAATTAGAAACATGTAGCTAGACAGCTATGTATGTGTTTGTTACAATAATTTACATTAATGTGCAAATTGATCTTGATCCATCCCATTAAAATGGTGTTACTTATTTGTTTCCAGGTTCAAAGGTTGGATAACAAAATGACAAGTGGTGCAAGAAAGGACGGAGCCCCCACAATTAACGGTAGTAATTTACAAAACAACATAAGAACAAAGAATCATGCGGAACAACAGAAAAGAGAGAAAGAAAGACAAGACAGGGAGAGCTTGGTGTTATGGAAGAGACCCATAGTCACGGTTGAATATTTTATTAGAGAAGTTATTATATTATTATCGACATATGGTAAAAAGTAAGATATTTAACAAGGAACATTGTAAGAGTATTTTTGCATAGGGGACTGTGAATTCAATTCGTTTTCTTTTTTTTAGGATATTAACAAATCAGAAACTTGTATCACTAGGTCTTATATCAGTATTATCAGTATACATATTAATGAATTCCAAAGGACCACATCAAAATTTAGTACAAGGCATGTATAAGAAATTATTATGGTGTTTATACTGGATAGGTTTAGGTAAGTGAGGTAGTTAAATATAATTGAAATAAATATACAGGATGTGGTGTGTATAATCTATAAAAATTAAACTACAACTTCCTAACGCTATTTGTAATAGAAAAGTCTTATACGAAAAAGTTCTATTTTTGCATTTTTTTTTTTCATATTAAAGTTCAATTATGGATCAAAATATTTTCTCTGGAACGGTCCTGTCC